ACGCGCTTCCGACCCCCTGCTGCTCAGGAGATGTAGGCAGTGCGCGCTCTGGCGGAGGTGCCTGCTCACGTCGCTTCTGCAGGCCGTCGTAGACCTCGCCTGGGTTCAATCGGGTATGCATCTCCGACTCCTGGTTCTCTATCAGCGCGAGGCGGTCCAGCAACTCGGCTTTGTCACGCTGCAAGACCTCCAGTCGTTTCTTCTCCTCGCTCTTCCTCGCGCCCTCGGAGGCTCCTGCCATGACCCAGTCCTCGTCCTTAGGGGCGGCGGCGGCCTCCCCAGTCGGAGCGGCGGACGTTAGTCCTGGCGCAGCTCCGTCTGGGATGTTCCCGGGAGGTTCCCCCGGAACATTCGATCCTTTAGTCTTCGATGCCCCCTTCGCCGACGGCGCCGCTGCGGTATCCTCCACGAATGCAGGATGGGCCCTCGCAGGGCCGCTGGTTGGAGAGAAGTCCGGCTTCTCGCAGCGGCGCGTGTAGAGGTTGAGGCGCGCGATGCGGTCGTTCCTCGTGATGAAGTGGATGGTTGCCAGCGGCGTCAGGTAATCCCTAAAGATGTCCTGACGCGGATACCAGCTGCAGAAGATCTCATCCATCTCCTCCGGCGTGAACGGCGGCTCCTTATCCTCACGCCGCTGATCGTTATCGTCCTCGCTGGCCTCATCCTCCTCGCTGGCCTCATCCTCCATCTTCACCTCGGCCTCCTTCTTCACTTCCTTCCTGCTCCTCGCCTTCTTCCTCTCTTTCTTCTCTTCTTTGCTGCTCCTCGCCTTCTTCTTCTTCTTCTTCTTCTCTTTCCTCTCTTCCTTCTCTTCCTTCTCACCGCGGCCTTCCGGTGTACTCCGCTTCTCTTCCTTCTCACCGCGGCCTTCCGGTGTACTCCGCGACCTCGAACGCGATGGGGCCCCCGCCTCGGGCGGGGGAGGGGCGCGATGCTCACGGAGAACAGCTCCCCGATCGCGGTGGCGGTCGCCACGACGATCTCGAAGATGATCTTCGCGATGCTTGGTGTCGCGATTCCCGCCTTCACCGCGCCGATCGTCGCGGTGCTTGGTGTCGCGATTTCCGCCCATCACGATCTTGAACATAGTTGCCGTGATCTCATCGAGATCCACCTCAGCCGCCGTGCAAGGCTTCGACGTGGTCAGCTGCAGCCGCATGAGCCGACCCTGGACGAAGTCGAGAGCCTCGCAGCGGCCTTGCTTGAAGAAGATGGGCTTCTTGTTCGTCACACGCTCCACGATGTGATGGACCGTGGCAAGGTCAGGAAACTCCAACTCCACGCTGTGCCCCTTTGGGTGGGTGTTGGCCAGGATGCGATGGCAACGCACGCATGCATCCTCGTCCTCCTGATCCTCCCCGCGCCTTGCAAGGGCGCGCGCGCGTTCATCACTGCCCTGTCCGGGACCGGGGCCATCGTCGGCGTCCCGGCGTAGACTTGGCGCAGGCATACTCTTGGGTCGAGGATTCATGACGATCCTCCCTGGAGCATCGGCTCGGACCTCTACCGAATGCCTCTGGGCAGGCACCGACTGGGGAGCGCGGCGCCATGGGGCGCGGCCGCGACGCTCTTCGGCACTGCCTGCCATGCCAACCCAGTGGATGACCGGCCCATGCACCTGCCATGGAACCGGCGGCTTCGCAGAGCTCCGCTAGTTGGGCGACGCTGGCTGGCCACTCTTAGGCCCGGTCTTGTTGTACGGCTCGCGCTCGCCACTCTTCACCTTGGGGCACTCCGGGTCGCCGCGCCAGTGGCCGGGCTGATCGCAGTCAGCACGCCGGCTGTTAGCCTTGCGCTGGTCCGTCGGCTTGCGACCAGCCTGGAAAGAGCCGCTGGCGTTGATCTTCTTGGGGTTCCGCTGCCGAGGGGCAACGAACCCGCGCTTCTGACGCTGCGCTGCCGTCTTCTGCTTGGCCCTCCAGCCGGCCAAGAACGCCTCCTGAAGATCCCCCGGTGCCTCGTACTCCTCGTCGTCAGGCCCGTCGTTGTCCGACGCCAGTTCCTCGTCGACCTCGGCGCCGTCCTCGAAGAGGGTGCCCTCGGCCCCTCCGGGGTCTCCGTCGTCCTGGTCGTCTGCTTCCTCTTCGTCGTGCTGCGCCTCCTCCAGGTCGCCGTCGTGTTCATCGTAGTCTTCACCATTCTCCACCTCGTGCGCATGCTGGCCAGAGCGTCCTCGAAGCACGTGCGGCCTACGAGCCAAGGGAGGGTGCGGGTAGCGACCGCCCGAGCTCCCAGAGGAGCGCCCGTGCTCACGCTGCGCCGCCACAAACGGCGAGCGGCGAGGGAGCACCGAGCGCTTCTCGGTGTCGTGCACCTTCGAGTAGGCTGCCTTCAGCACGACCTCCATCCGCTTCGAGTCGTAGATGCCGCCACAATTGAAGAGCACCTGCGCTCGCTCTCTTTGCGACAGCCCAGCACCACGGAGCATCTTGCTCGCCAGCGCGCGATCACTGATCGCTGAAGTGGGATCCTCGAGCTGCAACTCCATGCGCTTCTTGCGCAAGTGCATTGTCCAATCCATGATGGGCTGGCCTGCCCGACGGTGAGCACGCTCCCACTCCTGATGCACCTGATCTAGGCGCTCGTGATCCATCTTCTCGAAGGCGTCATCGTAGATAGCGAAGATGGTCTCGAGCGTGTCCTCGCGCCGGAGGTCCGACGCGTCCAGTACCTCGATGAGCTCCTTGGCCCGACCTGTCACCTGACTGTAGATGATCAGGCCCAGCTCCACGTCGGAGAGCTGGTTGAGGTTGCGGATGACCTCCACAGCCTTGCGCCACTCTCGGTACTTCTTGGTGCTAGTACCGACGGCACCGTCGAAGTCCGGGAGCTTCACCTGTGACAGCAGTAGGCGTGCACGCCTGGGACCGCTGTCGCCACGATCCCGCTGCATGGCCAGGATCTCCCTCTGGGTCTCGGCCATCACGCGCAGGACCGCGTGCAGGTCCGGAGAACCTGCGCCGGCGGAGAACATCGCCTCCGCGTCCGAGCCGCCGTCCTGGCTGCCGGCCATGGCGGCGCGCGCGGGTGGTCGCAGCCACCCAAGCAGAGCACGCAGTGCGTCCGCTGGAGCTTACGAGCTCCGCTACCAATGTCAGTGCAGTTCTTTTAGCTCGGACCGCGCGGCAGTCCAACTGCGGGTGCAGTCCCAGGGCCCTAGGACTAGGGCCAAAACGGCGGCGGGCAGCGTGCACGCCACAAACATGAAAAGCATGTGCATCATGTGTACAAGGCGGCACGGGCGGCAGAGGGGCAGGGGAGTGCACTCTTCACATACTCATGCCTGCCATGCGTTCTTGAATGTATGCGGAAGCGCAGTACCAAATTTATGCACGTTATCGGAATCGCTATTGGGGAAACCCTGGTGTGACGCGGAGAAAAAAACAGTAGTTTTCGTATCCACGTGGAGCTGACACATCAAATAAGCCCTGTCGACAAAGTGTCTTCCGACAAAGAGATTGTCTTCATTTCGTCTTTCGCATCACTGGCGTCAGTAATCGAGTCTACACTGGCAACTCGAAATCGCCTTGCATCCGAACATGCTGAGAGTTGGCGCGATGTCCGTGCAATTCTAGATAGCGGTCTGGTCGCTCCCAATATTGGTGGTGACTTCAATGATGCTGATGATGCCTACGGCGGTGGTGGCGGCGGTGTACGTGGCAGTTGGACGGGTGCACGAGACAAGAACACGTGACACGTGGTCATTTGCGTGGTAGTTATTGGGGAATAAATGTGAAACGATGAACGTCATACAATTTTGTACCCACCTCCACCACCCAGCCGGCTGATCGGCCGCAAACTGATATATCATTCGTTCGCTTGAACAACACTTTCGGCATCTTTGCCGCGCCGCCCCCCTAATCGATCAGATGAGTGTCAGAACAGGGGCATCCCACAAAAAGGTTCAAGGGACACGAACACATGGAAGGAAGAGAACACACACACACACACCTCCCTCCTCCTCCTCCTCCTCCTCCTCCTCCTCCTCCTCCTCCTCCTCCTCCCATTCACGCAACCATCATCCGCAAAGGCATATCTGTGGTTACATCGATATGTGTATACCTATCAACGCGCAGCACCACAATGCCTGGCCAAGGCCTCCTTTGGGCCCGCGGATGGTGCACAGAGCACAGACCCTCCTGGCCTCACTCGGGAGGGCGATGTGCACCCCGCAAGGGTCCAGGCTTGCCGTGGCCGGACATTGTCGGGCGTCCTCTGCAACCAGTACGTTGCTGGGGGGACAAAGATGTGCCAACGCCGCTAGTCCCCAGACCTCTCCAGGGGTGCGTTCTTAGAGGCCTCCTAGATGGGGTCGGAGTAGATGGGGTCGAAAGATCGCGCCGCATCGGCGATACATGGGCGATGCATCGGCGATGCACCGGCGATGCATCGGCGACGTCCGCGTGAAGCAAATCGGGCTCCACATCGAGCCACATCGCCGGTGCATCGGCGATGCGGCGCGATCCTCCGACCCCATCTACTCCGACCCCATCTGGGAGGCCTAGAGTTCTGGCCAGAATCTCGAGGATACTCTGGCCGTGGCGACGAGGGCTCTCCAAACCAAGCTCATGCTAAGCGCGCCGACAAGCGCAGCTCGCGGGCAAACGCGCCCAAGGAAAGACTCGCACGGGACAAAAAGCTGCTTTACAAACGCGCAGGGCCGTCGACGAAAACAAAACAAAAACCATTCTGTGTGCCGGGGCGGCTGCTCCTCCCTGGGTATCGGCATACTTTCCCTCCCGACGCTGCATCACCCCCCGTTGGGCTTAAGTCGGGCCTGTCCCCCTACAGGGGGATTTTCGACGAAAAATAAAACATACCAACAAAAACAACAGATTATCCAAAAATAGTTTGGGGACCATTTTTTGAATATCTTTTCACCTTCTTGGGGTATTTTTGGGGCTTTGTTCGTTTCTCGTCGAAAGCCCCCCCTGTAGGGGGACACGCCCGACATAACGCTGGGCCTCGGGCCCCCCCCGCGCGCGCGAGCGCGCCCCGGCCTCGCGGCGGCCAGCAGCTCGCCCTGGCCGCGCCCCGGGCGCGCGCGCCCCGCGCCTGGCGCCAGGGGCGGCAAAAGGCACGGCGAGCGCCAGGCGCGCAGCCCACGGACGAGCGGCGAGGCCGCCCGCGGCGAGCCTCGTGCCGTGCCGCCCTCGGCGTCGGCCCCCGACGCCGTGGAGAAGAAACACAAAACAACACGCAAACAAACACACACTGTGGGGAAACACACACACACAAAAGCACACACCGTGGGAAAAAAAACACACACACACACACACAAACGCACAGACCGTGGGAAAAAAACAACAACAACAAAAACACACCGCTGCCTGCGGCAAGCTCGTGCCGTGCCGCCCTCGGCGTCGGCTCCCGACGCCGTGGAGGAGGAGGAGGTCGCCTCCGCCCCGAGCGATCGGCCGTTCCCGCAGGGTCAGACCGTTCCGCATCGGCCGCTTCTGGGTCGCCGGCGGCGTTCGGCGTGGAACGCCAGCGGCGGGGTCGCCGCCGGTCGACACGGTGCGAGCCCACCGTAGGTGGGGCCGGATAAGGCGGGGCCGGATATAGTGAGGGCATCGAAGAAGGAACCAGTGGATAAGGAATCCAGGGTCTCGAAGTTGGTCTAACTCCCATCGTGGACTGGCCATGGATGTCACCGCCGCCCTAATCAGCTAAGGAACCCTCCAGGGTCCGCAGCTTCCTGGGCGCATTCCTCAACGAACGGCCCCACCGTAGTCCCACCAGACCTCCGGGCGCAGGTGGTCTAGGGAGTCTCCTCTTCCACCCCCCCCGTAGTGGCCAGGAAGATGCCCAGGATAGATCAATCAGAAATGAAAGGACCTCGGCCCGCCCCAGAAAAATCAAAGAACTCTCGAAGAATTGGAAAGGAGCACTGTGTGGGTGGTTTCCTCTTCCCCCCCCCCCTCCTGCCCCCTTCTGGGGAGGGGCTGATGCCCTCCCCTGGGCCTGGACGGGGCGCCTCCCCGAGGTGTCGCCAGGTACGTCTTTTCGCCCAGGATGGCGCCGAGGAGGGCGTCGGAGAGCCCGAGGTGACCGCCAAGATGGCTCAAGATAGCCCAAGATGCCTCAAGCCGGCTCCCAAGATGCTCCAAGAGGCCCCAAGAACGCTCCAGGACGGCTCCAAGAGGCTTCAGAGACCTCCAAGGAGGCCTCCAAGAAGCGAACATCCTTCCAACACCTGGGGAAATTCATTGCTTTTTGCTTTCTCGCCTGTTCGCTTCCGACGGGTATCCGAGGCCTCAAGATGGCTTCAAGATGGCCCAAGAAGCTCCAGGAGAGAGATACCCAAGAGAGCCCCAAGACGGCTCCAACAGCGCCCAAGAGAGCCCCAAGAGAGCCCCAAGAGCGCCCCAAGAGGCGACTTTTGATGCTCCCGAGGAGGGACCCAAATTGAAGCTCCCCTCTGGTTTGATCGATGTCCTCCAAGATGGCCCTAAGAGCGCCCCTGAAGCTCCAAGAGCGCCCCAAGAGGCACCCAGACAGCCCCAAGAGGCCTCCAAGAGGCTCCCAAGAGACCCCATACGAAGCCTCAAGAGGATCCCCAAGGTACCCAACTCTCCCTCCTTTTCCTCCTTCTCCTCCTTCTCGTCCTCGTCCTCGCCCTACTCCACCTCCTCCTCCTCCTCCTCCTCCTCCTCCCGTTCCTCTTCTTCCTCGTCCTCTTCCGACGATTCCTCCTCCATCCTCCTCCTGTTGGGGTATGTGACGGCTTCCCCCTCCCTTTGTTCTTCTGCATGCTACCCACTTCCCTGATCACCTCAACTCCCCTGGGCATCGTTTCTGGATGGGCTGGTGGGGATATGCGAAGCGTCAACAAATTTGGTCCAGACCATCCTGTGGAGTTGGGTCCTCGTTTTGAAGCGATGATCCTCGCGTCTTCTCGTCTCCTCCTCCCCCCCTTCCCTCGTCCAAGCCTTGTCTCTGCCCTCCGCATGTTAACCCGTTCGGCACACCCCTCACACGTTTCGTGCGTCCATAGCGAGCTACACCAATGGCCCCGGTGGCAACGTTCGCATGCGCTTCCCTGCCCGTTTGGATTCACCCCTCACACGTTTCGTCGCCCCACACGGAGCTCCACCGAAGGCCCCACAAGGCCCCAGCGGCAACGTTCGCATGCGGTTCCCCGCCGATGTCGGCACACCCCTTGCATGTTTCGTGGCCCCATGGGGTGTTCCACTGAAGGCCCCAGTGGCAAAGTCCACATGCGTTTCCCCGCCCATTTCGGCACACCCCTCACACGCTTCGTGGCCCCATAGGGAGCGCCACCGAAGGCCCCAGTGGCAAACTTGGCATGCGGATCCCAGCACATTTCGGCACAACCCTCACACTTTTCGTGGTCCCACAGGGAGTCCCACCGAAGGCCCCAGCGGCAACGTTCGCATGCGGTTCCCCGCTCACTTCGGCACACTCTTCACACGTTTCGTGGCCCCACAGGGAGCTCAACCGAAGGCCCCGGTGGCAACGATCGCATGCACAATTCCCCAGCCATTTCGGCACAGCCCTCACACGTTTCGTAGCCCCATAGGGAGCGCCATCGAAGGCCCCAGTGGCAAACTTGGCATGTGGTTCCCAGCCCATTTCGGCACAACCCTCAAACATTTCGTGGCCCTATAACCGAATGTCCCAGTGGCAAAGTCCACATGCGGTTCCCCGCCCATTTCGGCGCACCCCTCGCGCGCTTCGTGGTCGAACGGGGCCCCACAGGGAGCCCCACCGAAGGCCCCGGTGGCAACGTTCGCACGCGGTTCCCCTCCATTTCGGAACCTCTCTCGCACGCTTCGTGGCCCCATGGGGAGCTCCACCGAGGGCCCCAGTGTCACAGTGCATATGCGGTTCCCCGCCGGCTTGGGCACGCCTCTCAAACCTTTCGTGGCCCCATAGGGAGCTCCACCTGAAGCGGTGCCCACAACGCGGTACCCACAACTGCGTATGGTTGGGTCGTGCGCCAGGATAGTGTTTATTATCGTTCGTTCCTGGGAACAGTCCTTGGCCAGGGGGTGGAGCTTGGGGCCCCGGGGAAGAGTAACGCTTGGGCGTGGTGGGGCAAGTCGGGGCGGGGGCACGCTGCGATCGCCATACCATGCGCGCGAACACCAGTACGTGGCAGGGTGGCCCAGCCCCGTCCTACGTACGATCGCTACCATCACCCCAGAAAGAGGGCTTCTGCCAGGTAGGGACCCTTGCGCGCCAGAGGATAGCAAAAAAAGTTGAGAGAACTTCTGCGGAACTCGCGCCATCCTGCCTCCCGGCGCGTGAGAAAGTCGGGCCCCACCGCGCCCCCAGGGGGACCACTTCCGAGGAGCGCACCAGGCGGCGCGTCCCAGTCCGGGGCTCTCGCCCGAGACATCCTCGCAAAGCCGACCTCCTGGCGCGCGAGAAAGTCGGGCCCCACTGCGCCCCCGGGGACTATTTCCGGGGAGCGCACCAGGCGCACCGGGCGTGTCTGAAGGGGCCCCAGGACACACAAATAAGTACACACAAATCAAACTATTCCCCATATTTTCCTGTATTGTCTGGGTTTCTGTCTTCCCCCCCACTCCCCATATTTTCCTATATTTTCTCTAGGGGGCGACGAATAATTGTGTCTGTGTGTTTTTTCCCCTCCTGAGTGTCCCAGTCCGGGGCTCTCGGTCGCAAAGCCGCCTCTCCAGCGCGTGAGAAAGCCAAGCCCCGTCGCGCCCCGAGAGACCATTTCCGGGGACCGCATGCAGGCGGTAGCATTGGGACTTTCGGTGGAGCTCCCCATGGGGCCACGAAGCGCTGTACTGGGTGGGGGGAACACATGCGGGCGGTAGCACTGGGACTGGCACCTTCGGTGTAGCTCCCCATGGGACCAGGAAGCGCTGCACAGGGTGGGGGGAATGCATGCATGCGGGCGGTAACACTGGGACCTTCGGTGGAGCTCCCCATGGGGCCACGAGACGCTGCACTGTGCGGGGGGAATGTATGCATACGGGCGGTAGCACTGGGACCTTCGGTGGAGCTCCCTATGGCCCTATGGGGTCGTAATGGGTGGTGGGGACGCATGCGGGCGGTAGCACTGGGACCTTCGGTAGAGCTCCCCATCGGGACACGAAACATGGGAGTGGTGCGCCGAAATGGTCGATGCGGAGAGCAGGGGCAGGGACGGGATGAGGGAGGGGGAGGAGGAGGAGGAGGAGGAGGAGGGAAGAACGCGGGGCGCTGTTTCTTCGAAACGAGAGCCCAACACCACAGGATGGTCGGGTACTTTCGGTCCGCGCGGAGCTCCGAACGTTTCTGCTTCCATGCCTTTCTTTCTTTCTCGGTGGCGGACAGAGCTCCGGGAAGCTACCCCTAATGCTATCGATAGGAAGCGGGTGAGACAATGAAAAGCAATGATACCCAAGACAGCGCGACGACAGCGAGAGAGAGCAGCGGCAACGAGGACAAGAGGACAACAGGACAAGAGGAGGGGGAGGGAGGCAAGAGGGGCAAGCGAGTAATTATTGCATTCCTGTCCCCAAGAAGCACTTCGAGAGCTGCCGCCCCAGGTGTGCGATACTCTGCCCTTTCTCGGGGCCCCCGGAGTCCCGACCTCCTCCCCGTGGCCGGTCGGCCATCGTCATCCTGGGTGGCTTCACGGTCCTGGGGCCTGGCGATGAGGAGGAGGAGGAGGAGGAGGAGGAGGAGGAGGAGGAGGAGGAGGAGGAGGAGGAGGAGGAGGAGGAGTGGCCTCCGCAGCCCGAACACGACGCAACGCCTCGGCCTGGAATTTTTCTCAACATGCTGGAGGCCTGGGGCCGCCCTGCGCCCACGCCGCCCTGCGCCCCCGCCGCTGACACCGCCACCGCCGCCGCCGCCACCATCGTCGTTCTCGTCGTCGTCGTCGTCGTCGTCGTCGTCGTCGTCGTCGACGTCGTCGTCATCGTCGTCGTCGTCGTCGTCGTCGTCGTCGTCGTCGACGTCCTCGTCGTCGTCGTCGGCGGCGGCGGCGGCGTCGTCGGCGAGGTCGCCCTTGGCCCCCGCCCGCGCGCTCGCCGCCTCCAGCCGCGCGGGCCTTCTCGCCAGCGCCGCCGGCGCCCGGCAGCGCGGCGGTGGCAGTGCTGCTGTTTCCCGCGCCAGGGCCGGCGCCCGCTCTGGCGATGCCAGGCGCCGCGACCTCGGAGGGAGCGCAACTCAACATGTTCGCGCCCCGTGGACAATGCCCCCAGCATTCTCTCCCCCCCACCTGGGCAAGGGAAGGGACGGGAGAGGGGTTCCAGACTCCCCCCCCCGCCCTCCCCCCTGGCGCAAAGGGGATAAGGGGTTCCAGCCTCCCCCCTTACTGCCTCCCGGTAAACAACGACGACGACGACGACGACGACGACGACGACGACGACGACGACGACGACGACGACGACGACGACGACGGCTGGCGGCGAGTGGGAGGGCTCGACCCCGAAAACCCCCCTCCTCCCTTGCGCCGCCGTAGGTCGGAGGGAGGAGGGGGGGGGGCGACCAAGCGCCCCTCCCTGCCCGAGCGCACCTCCAGAGCGCTCTTTCCGCCCTCGGGGCGCACTGACCTGCGCGGTCGAGCCCCGCGCTCTTGATCTGAGGAGTGTCCTGGTCTCGCGGCGCCGCGGCGATCACGCGGGCAGAGGCCGCCTGAGTGCCAGGAGGCCCGGGTCGAGGTCGATCTGAAGGCCGGGCGTGGGGAAGCGGATGGCGTGTCGCGCCGCAGCCCTCGACCCCGTCCTGGAAGTCCCCAACCGTGGTGGTGACAACACCCGGCGGTGAGTCTCGGGCGATTTGGTGTCACCACCGGGTTTGGGGGCTCGTGTGGTTTCTCGAAGATGTCCCGACCGGCTTGTGGGTCCAGGATTCACAAAGCCCGGCGGTGGCCCCGTGCTCCAAAACCCGGCGGTGACCTTTTGGGGATTCCAGGCCACCACCTGATATCTCATCACCTGGTTTGGGGGCTCCCAACTATCTTGCGGCAACATTTTTACAGCCAGATCGATCTGTGATGGTCCGGGGCGCGACACCCGGCGAAGACTCCCGCTGTGACAAAAGCTGCAAACCCTGGGTCTCAGGGGGGTCCGCCACTGTGCCGCTGGGCATGGAGTGGGCGTGTTCTCAGGTCCACTGCTTCATCCCCTGGTCCTCAATCCTTGATTCTGAGGGTTCTTAAGGGGCCCGGGCCCAAATTCAGAAATCTCCCTGGGCTTGCCGCAGTTCCCCTGGGGGTCCTCGCGGCTTCCCGCATGACTTTTTCGGGCCCCACAGGATCCCAACACGGGCCAAGAGGGCCCCCGAAGGCCCCGAAAATTGTCCAATACCCTGAATCGCCGAACGATCGCTCCAAGACGCCCAAGATGGCCGCCGGACCGCCCAAGAGGCCTCCAAAACGCTCCAAAAGGCCTCCACGAAGGCAAAAAACTGCACCCCCTAGATCTCATGGGGAGGTCACTCGGGAAGGAGCAAACACACTGACACACATCATCGCTGATTCCCCCAAAAATGTAGAGAATCTGGGTCGCAGGAGGGAAGACGGACATCCAGGAAATATGGAAAAGTAGAAATAAGGAATCTTTGGATGTGTGTCTACGGCCAACCCATACAATACGGACGCACGGTGAGGATGCAGGGGCCTTGGAAGGCCATATCGACACCTTGCGAGCGGGGCGCGGCCAGCGAAAGTGGCCAAGGATGGGCCGAAGGGGAGGGATGCAAGGGTAACCTTGGAGAGTCGCTCATCCTTACTATGCGGGTTGACTGTATCCATTTGTGTTTCCCCCGGGCCCCTGCACCCCATGGATCTCAGGGGGCAGACGTCGGAGACCTGGGCATGCGTCTCTTGCGGGCACGCAGCTCGACCGGGCCCCCGCGGGGCACCGCACGCCTGGAGACCTGGGCAGACGCCTTCCCCAGACATCCCGGCGTCTTGACTCGTGTGGGACAACGGCCCCCGATGAGACGAAGGCAGAATCGAGGCAACATCGGACCGATACAAATCGGACATCTCTTAGAATCGGCGGGCTCGGCGGAGATATCGAGCGCCGCGGCCGTTTCAGAACGTCCTGGAACGCTCTCGGAGAGCATTCCGCAACGCCCTGGACCGACTTCTCTCGGCTTGAAGCAACTCGGGCGGGCGGTAATGTTAGGTTGGGCCTGTCCCCCTACAGGGGGGATCTTGGACGAAAGATATACAATACCCCAACAAAAGTTTCCAAAATGGTAGAAACATGCTCCAAAATTTGTCCCAAAACTATTTTTTAACTATTTCCGAATATCCCCTCTGTAGAGGGACAGGCCCGACTTAGCGGCAATGGAAGGTTACCTAAATTGGGGGTGAAGAAGAGGGCCCTAGAGCTCCCCGTCTAGGCCACCCACCAATACCACCCGCCCGAGAACTCCCGACCGCTTCCCGAGGACCGGCTTCTCACCCCGCGTCGTTTTCGGACGGCCCCGAAGTCCGGCGAAGGCCCCGAGGAGGAGATCGACAGTCATGAGAAACCTCCGTCCCGATTTACAGTCGGGGCCTTGGCCTAACGGAACCCAAAATAAGGAACGAGGCCCCTTTTTTCCATGAGTTAAACTTCGATTTCCGATCGAAAGCATAAGGAAAACCTGAGGCAAGCTGCGAAACACTTAAGGAACGCGGAGCCCCTCCCCAACGAAAAGGGTTCCTTCTTCAGGGCCCCGACTCTACTCCATACGTTGGACATCCGGGTTCTTCGGGCGCCCGCTGGTGATCTGTGGATCTGGTGCGTGGGCGTCATGTCCATGGATCGGGGAAGGTCCCGCCGACACGCGAGCGCGCCGATTCTGTATTGAAGCGGAGCCCGCCGCTCATCCACGCGCCTTACTCCCTCAGATTCCACGCCGTGAACAAAAATGGCAGCGTCGCGAAAAAGAACCACCAAAACCCCGGACCCAACGCTCTCTGCGCCACTCCTCGGGCCGGACCGATCCGTGAGGGCCCTGGGGCCCGAAGCAAGGCAGAACCTCCCGCAATGAAACTTGGTGGTCTCCAAACCAGGTGGTGAGACATCCGGTGGTGACCCAGATTCCCCAAAGAAATAATTCTGGGTCACCACCGGGTTTGGGGACACGCGGTCGCCACGAGGTTTTGCGTTTCCTGGGCCAGCCAGCGCTCGAAAACCATTACCCAAATCGCCCAAAACTCACCACCGGGTGTTCTCACCACCACGTTTGGGGACCACCAAGAAACACTTGCAACGCCAGGAAGGTCCATGGTCCCAAACCCCCGACGTCATATGATTTTTTCATGGCGTCGACCCGGGAAACCTCGACCCCTTCCGTGGGACCTGTTTCCAACCGGAGTCGTTTATTGACGGCCCCGAGGCCCGGTAAGGGCCCCAGAGGCTGAAAATAGCGCAAAACCTCCCGTCGTTTTTTTTTTGTTGTTTACACAACGCGAGGAGTTCTGGGTTAGCGTTCCCTCGAGCTCTGCGGGAACGCGGCTCGACAGGCCCTCGTGCGCGCGCACGCGCCCGAAGCGCGCGGAAGCAGCCCGCGGCGGCCGCGCCTTCGACGGGCTGCCGAGGCCGTCGACGGCGACGTCGGAGGCAGGGGCCGCGCCGGCGCTGCTGCCTGGCGTCGTCGTCGTCGTCGTCGTCGCCGTCGCCGTCGTCGTCACTGTCGTCGTCGTCGTCGTCGTCGTCGTCGTCGTCGTCGTCGTTGTCGTCGTCGTCGTCGTCGTCGTCGTCGTCGTCGTCGTCGTCGTCGTCGTCGTCGTCGTCGTCGTCGTCGTCGTCGTCGCCGTCGGGTGCCCGGGCGGGTGGGTGAACCCCCCCTGCACTCGTCGTCGTCGTCGTCCTTCTCCTCCTCCTCCTCCTCCTCCTCCTCCTCCTCCGACTTCTCCTCCTCCTCCTTCTCTTCCCGTCCTTCTCCAGTCCTCCTCCAATCCTTCCTGCTCCTCCTGCCTCTCCTACCATCCTCCCCCCATCTGGCCTCCCTGCTCCTCCTCCTCCTCCTCCTCCTCCTCTTTCCTGTTTCCTGCGTCAGACGTTGCAAGCGGTGGCGTGCCCTGCCCTCGAGCTCTGCGGGCACGAGGCTCGACGGGCTCCGCGGGGCGCGGGCGACCGCGCGCCCGAAGCGCGCGGCGGCAGCGGATCTTGCTGCCGCTCCCTCGACGCTCTGTGGGGGCCCCTCGGGCCCGCAGCGCCCAACATGCCCGGGGATCTGCTGCCCCCGGGGTCCAGGCAGACCCGGGTCCGCCAGGCCTCCGCATGTGATCCTCCTGCAGGCTCCGGCGGGCTCCCGCAGGAGATCCTGCGCCCGGGCCCGGGCCGCTGCGGCCCTGGCTTGCAGGCTCCTGCAAGAGACCCGGCGCTCTGCCCGACCACCCTTGGCTTTGGCCCCCGTCGCTCGAGCCCCGGAGCGCCCGCTGCGTGCCTCCCCCGCCGGCCTCCACCGGCCTGCGCCAGCCTCGCCCAGCCCCCTCCCTATAGAGGGCAGGAAGTCCCCCCCCCAGAATAGAACCGCCCCACAGAGGGCAGAACAATCCACCCCTATAGAGGCCAGAACATCCTCCCTGGAGGGCAGAAAATCCACCCCCTCCCTCGAGGGCAGAAGAAGTCGTCCATAGCCAACGCACACGCAGGGAAGGCTTCGAACAGGTCAGGGCTGCCTAGTGAGCGCCCAGGGCCGTTTAGTGAACATCAATCGTCGGGTCCGGGTGGCTTTTCCTCCCCTTGCCCTGACCTTTCAGGAGGGCGCAGAAATAGCACCAGGACGTCGACGTCCTAATTCCTGTCAAGGTTTGAGGCAGTCCAAATAGATCTATAGGTCTGGAGTGTTATTTTTTACCACTCTGGAACGTCAGGGTGGCTCCCCCCCTCTCGAAGGCGGGAGGCCCTCCCCATGGAGCGGCCCCGGGGCCCTGGGCGGAGGCCCAGAGGGGGGCCCCCTGTGGCTCCAAGCTGGCGCCTTGCCCTGTCGGGGATGGACAGACCCCCCTTTGGCAAAACGTGGTTTAGTGAAAACGACCTGAGGCCCAAACCTGGCGGGCGCAAGCCTGGAAAACAACGGCCGCGGCGCCCTCTCGAGAACCGAAAACGGACAATTCACTCATGGACGTGTTACTGTTGGGGGTTCTGTCCACCCCCGACCCAGACTCCCGGCGCCAGCTGCTTCCGGAGTCGCCGTCCACCGCTGATTGCTGCGGTGCGCGTGCGCACGTTTTTCCCTCGTCGTACGGCGCTGCGCTCGAGGGCCCGAGAGGTGCTCGAGGCGAGCGCAGGAGAGTCCCGCAAGAGGGGGGCGGGGGGCCCGAGGCCGCTGGTCCCGCAGCGGTTCCGCGGGAGGCGTCCTCACCGTTCGTTCAGGAATCGTGCCCTCGAGCCCAGTGCCGGCTGCACTTTTGGCCAGGGATGGACAGACCCCCCTTTGGCAAAACGTGGTTTAGTGAAAACGACCTGAGGCCCAAACCTGGCGGGCGCAAGCCTGGAAAATAACGGCCACGGCGCCCTCTCGAGAACCGAAAACGGACAATTCACTGATCGACGTGTCACTGTTGGGGGTTCTGTCCACTCCCGATTTGGCCCGGGCGGCGACGATCCCTTCCAACACTTGGCTGAAGTGCACGCGGCCGTGCTCTCACTCCTGTCCCGCCCGCCAGAGCTCCTCGGAATCCCTGGGGGCACGCCAGGGCTGATCCCAAAGGGTGCTTTCCGTTTTCGTGCTGTTTTCGTCTTCCCTCGCTGTTGTCTCGAAAATCCGCCTCTACCGCAAAACGAGATCGAAACGAAACCGGCCCACGAGAAACCGCCCAAAACACCGTCTAGGTCCAACCCTGGGGGCACACGGGAATGCGCAAGTTCGCCCGCCGACCCCCCGCTCCTCGACCGGCTTCTTCACCTCTCTGCTGCCATCGGGGCGCTCTCTGCCGTGGTGGCTCTACCGATGCTGAAGGGACCCAAGGACACACACAGAAATACACACAAATCAAAAGAATACCCCTATTTTTCCATATTTTCTGGGTTTTTATCTTCCCCTCCACTTCCCATATTTTCCCATATTTTCCTGGGGATCGACGATTAATTGTGTCTGTGTCTTTTTCCCTCCTGAGATGCTGCTGTTTGGGCTGTCCTGTGGCGCCCGCCGCCGCCTGGAGAGAGAGAACAGCCCCGCCGGCGAGCGTCCTGGCAGAGCCGTCCCCCTGGATCTCTTCACCCCTTCTCGGCGGCGAGGCGAGGGGGGGTCGAGGAGGAGGAGGAGGCCTTCTCAGAAGGCGGCGGGGCCTCTCAGAAGCCCTCGCGCCTGCTGAGAAATTCTCTGCGTCTTCAGAAACAGGCTCAGAAAACTCCCCAGAAGGCTGGGGGGCTTCCAACCCTTCTGAGAGGGCCCGCCCCTTCTCGCCTCCCCCCCCCCCGCTCGCCGCCGACCTTCCACGCGAATGGTTTTCCACCCTGACACTTACGGCAAATTCGTGTCGTGCGGACCTCGGCGCTGGCCTCTGACACCGCGGGGATCGTTCAAACCTGGAACGGTCGGCCGCTTCCAAACCGTGGGATCGTTCAGCGTCGACCGATTCTGGGTCGCTGGCGGCGTTCAACGTCGAACGCTGGCGGCGTTCAACGTCGACCGATTCTGGGTCGCCGGCGGCGTTCAACGTCGAACGCTGGCGGCGGGGTCGCCCGCCGGCGGACACGCCGCGAGCCTGCCGTGCGCTCTCTGACGTTCCGGGGGCCCACAATCGGCGGTGGAAAAACCTCCCTTTAGTAGACCTCCCCTTAGTGAAAACGGCCTGGGACCTCCCTTTAGTAGACCTCCCCTTAGTGAAAACGGCCCGGGAGGCCCAGGAGGAAGGGGCCCTTGGACACACAAGTAAATAGACACAGCAACAGGATTCCCCATACTTTTTCCCATATCTGCTGGGTTTTTGTCTTTCCCCCCCCCACTTCCTGCATTTTCGCATATTTCGGCGGTGGACAAACCTCCCTTTAGCACACCACCCTTTAATGAAAACAGCCTGGGACCGAAACCGACGGACGTGGACCCGCAAAAATGACGGCCGCGACGCCCTCTCGCGAACCGAAAAAGGCCAATTCCTTAATCGACGTGTCAGGGTAGGAGGTCTGTCCACCCCCGACACAATCAGCCTCCAAGCGCCGAAATCGAGAAACAACTCCAGCGCGATTCGTTGTCCGAGCCGACAAGCTGCTGAGGGGGCCAGGGGCTCTTCGGTCAACACCCGGACACCACTTCGAGCACGGCCCAACCCATGCCCCCTATCGTCCTGACGTTTTCACGTGGACCCAGGGCGGTCTTGATCTCTCCCCCGAGGCTGGGAAACTGCGACCACCCTTGCGTCATGATCTTTTCGTCACGCGAGGGGGCCTGGGCCCGGGGGTGGACCATCGACCCCCAGACCTGTCCGGGGACGCTCAGTGGCCAGAATCTCGGCGCGGATCCAGCCGAAGGCGACGAGAAGCCCCCCCCTCAGACGCGAAAGAAGCCCCGAAGCTTCAAAACATCGAATCCTCGATGGACCTGGGAAGCCCCAGACTCCGACGCACTGATTTTGCAGTGCGCGGCCCCAGAAGCTCCGACATCTCCCCGTGGCCGGCTTGTCGCTCCAAGCTCCTGCCTGATGGCCCCGACTCCCGACAGCGGGCCCCATGGGGCCGCCCAGGTCGGGGAAAAGACGCCCAGAATGCAGGAATCATATCGTCGAGCATCTGGGGTCCTGCTCTCTTCCATACGGGGTATCCCGGAGGTCCCGACCCTTTCCCCGAAGAGGCCGGGACTCTCCTTTCCGCGAGTCGCCTTTCCACGGTCCAAGGGCCCTGCGAGGGCCCCCAGAGGCCGAAAACGGCAACAAAAAAGAGCTCCGTCGTGATTTCTTGCGTTAGGTCGGGCCTGTCCCCCTACAGGGGGATTTTGGACGACAAATGAGAAATACCCCAAACATGCTCCAACCATGCTCGAACATAGGAAACAAATGGTCCCCAGACAATTGTTTTTGACCATTTTTGAACACGCCCCCCCTGTAGAAGGACAAGCCCGACTTACTTTTTGCGTGGCGCGAGTCTGCGGGACGGGAAAATGACCACAGCAGCTGCTTCTTGTTTGCGCCGCCTTTTCCAGCCGGCCGCAAAAGACGCAGCGGTTGTGGTCATTTCCCTGGCGCCGAGCTCCACGAAAATGACCACAACCACTGCTTTGTTTCTGCGGGCTGGAAGGCGGCAACAAATAGAGGGCTGGAGATCCACCCCGATAATAAGCACCCCGACAACGCAACCGTTTAGCAAACGCACCCGACGAAGGAGTCCAACAAGAAAGCGCTGTTTAGTAAACGCACGGGGCCGTTTAGTAAACGCCGATTATGGGGGTCGGGGTGGATTTGTCCTCGTTGAACAAAAGCAAAGCAGTGGCCGTGGTCGTTTTCGCGCCCCGCAGAGTCTGCTTCTGGGAAGTGGCCGCTCCGAGATTTTTGTCCTCCTCGGCGAGGCCCCCCGAGGCGCGCGCGGGGCCTGCGCGGATGGCCTGGACCCGCCGCGGGGGGATCTACGATGCATCACATCAGAGCCGACATCCATTTTTCTGGTTTTTGCGAGTACAGTCATCGGCCTGCATAAAGGAACGATAGATGAGGAACGAAGCCCCTGTTTTTCTCCCAAGGAACAACGCATAAGGAACGATAACTAACAAATGACGCATAAGGAACTGTAAACAACGCATGTAAGCCTAAGGAACGACCGAGCCCCTTTTGAAAAGTAAGTGTTCCTTATTCAAGCCGCTCACTGTAGGCACTTTGCGAGCAGTGGAACGCGCTCGGCGAGACGTGGTCGCTCCGATGTTTTTTCTCCTCCTCGAGGCGAGCCCCCCCCGAGGCGCGCGCGGGGTCCTGCCGTGCCCGCGGCGGCGGCCCGGCTGCGGCGCTGGAGGCGCACCGCGCGCTCGCCTCGGCGAAGGCCGCGCGCCCCGCGCCTCCGCCGATGCGTGCTCGGTGCTTCCTCGCCGAGGCCGTTTTGGACGCCCCAACGCGTCGCGTACCCCCCCGTCCAGGTCCAGGGGAGGGGGTAGGGGCAAGTTAGGTGCGCTCGCGTCAACATCTGACATCCTACCCCTCCCTCCCATCCCTTACCATGGCGCTGATTTTCTCTATCCGCGGACGCGTGTCGTAGCGGACCTGTGGCTCCGCGCGCGTGTGCGTAGTGGGTGGTGGTGCGCGTGCGTGCGTGCGTGTGTGCGTGGTTGTGGTTGTTGTGGTGGTGGTGTGTATGTGTGTGTGTGCGTGTGTGCGCGTGTGCTGTGGTGTGACGTGGTGTGGCGTCTTGGTGGTTTGGTGGTGGACCAGGTGCGTACGTGCGCGATGGCGGTGGTGGTGGTGGCGGTGGTGTGTGTGTGTGTGTGTGTCTGTATGTGTGTGTGTGTGTGTGTGTGTGTGTGTGCGTGTGTGTGTGTGTGTGTGTGTGTGTGTGTGTGTGTGTGTGTGTGTGCGTGTGTGTATGTGTGTGTGTGTGTGTGTGTGCGTGCGTGCGTGCGTGCGTGCGTGCGTGCGTGCGTGCGTGCGTGTGTGTCTGTGTGTGCGCGCGTGTGATGTGGTGTGACGCGGTGTAGCGCGGTGGTGCTGGGTGGGGTAGTGCGGTGGTGGTGGCGGTGCGCGGTGGTGGTGCGCGTGCGTGCGTGCGTTGGTGGGTGGAAGTGGCGGTGGGTGTGCGTGCGGCGGGGCGGGGCGTGGTGCGGTGGCGGCGGGCGGATGGGCGCGCGAGAAAGAGGCCCGCGCTGGGGCGAGAACGCCATCCTGAACAACGGAGGCAAAACACCGGAGGCCACGCACGTGCAGTCGGCCTCGATGGGGCACGCAGCACACGCACATACAGGACACACAGGACACGCACATACAGTCGGCCTTGATTGGAGAGGACACACGAGAGGATGGTGTCGCTGGTCCTTCCGAGAGGGAGGAAGTTTGATCAACCCGCGGTCCCAGCCCAGAAGCCCGACCCCTTCGCAAGACCGGTTCTTCGTACCGGATCATGTGTTGATGTGCCTGGCCCAGACAGGGCCGCCAGACGCCAGAGGTGTTCAAAACCATGCTTTGGGTATTTTTTTGTGGTTTTTGGGGGGTTTTGGGTGCGGGGGAGGTTAGGCCCTGGGAGGTTTCATTCAGCGGAGGCGCTGCCACATACGTGGTGGAAAACCGGCCTAGTCTGGCGCAGTCTGGTTTCGTTCCGCTGAATCCAGCTTCATCGGGAGTGATCCTGGACTACTCGTTGGGCTTAGTGTAGCCCAAGGCCCCCCCCAATCGGGCCTACCATTCCCTGGGACGGGTTTTAAATCCCGAGTCGTGTTGTTCACGGCCCCGAGGCCCGATAAAGGGCCTCCCAGAGACCGAAAATAGAGAATCACCTCCCGTCGTGATTTTTGTCATGACTCGAGGGGGTCTGCGTTCCTTGCTCCTGCCCTCCTCCCCCCCTCTTCCCAACATGACCTTGGGGGGGCTCGTCGTCGTCACGGCCGGAAGCAGCTCGAAGCACATGCGGCCCCGAGGCCGCAGGTAGCAAGTCGCATCGGAACAGTTCCCCCCTTGCTCGGAGCCGCTCCAGCGCCGCAGACACCAGGACATGATCGCCATGTCTTGGCTGTCTAAGACAGCCAAGAGATGGCAGTCGTGCTTCCTTCAGCTTCAAGAAGACTTCTGAAGGCAACGCGATTGCCATCTGTTGGCAGGGGGCATCTTATTCTACACTCGCGCCAACCCCGTGCTGCGTCAGGCTCTGGAGGCTTCGTGAAGGCAGACGAACCGACAGGCCTGCATTCTAGCCCCGGAGGGCGGCCCTCGCAGGGGGCAGGCGCACAGAGGCGCATGGGACACGCCGTCCCTGCAGGAAGGGGCCAGCTGAAAGCCTGCTGCAATCGCGGCGCCAGCGGGTCTGTCATCGATGTGGGGGCATACGGAGCCGCGCGAGGTGGAAAACGGGCGAACTGGCAGTGAAACGAAACGGTTGAAAAAGGAGACGCCGACGTCCCGCACTCCCGCACCCCCGCCCCTGCGAGGGTGGCATGGCGAGTGTCGCCTCCCCAGGGGCTACGCCACACAGGATCGAGCCCCGCTCCAACAAAACGCACGGACCATCCAAATCCGAACAGCACAATTACGTGATCAAGCAACGATCGGATCTCCTACTCCCAGCTCGCCTGTTCGCACGGCGTCAAGGGAACGTTCGAAAGACCTTGGGGGAGGTCGGCCATTTCCAGGCGAACCGTCTCCGTGTGAGCCGATGCCCGCTCCGACTTGCGAGCCTCTTCTTCGCTTTGGTCCCCGCTTGCCCGCCCTTCGAACGGAATGCCACCCGCTCCGCGTCCTTGGCGGCGCGGTTGCGGGGACTGCGTCTTTGCCTAGCTGGATGCTCAGAGCTTGCAGGCACCCGCTCTCGCAGAACGTCAGGAAAGCCTGCCGCAGCTCCGGGTGACAACTGATGGCGAAGATTCAACGATGTCAATCACCTCGCTGTCTGGCGATTCCGTGGTCTGAACGTAACCGCACTGAACCAATAGCACCACGAACTCCTTCGAGCTCACCTGGTTCCCCCACGACACAATCGACTTAAACGGCTGCTCGCGTATCTGTTTCTTCCCAACTAAGTTTGCCGAAAGGGTTCATACTTGGTTTTTGGAATATTCGTGCATCGTATCATTATCGTGCCTGGTCCTCGGACGTTCCTCGGGTTCCCTAATTCGGTTCCTCGGGTTCCCCGCCCCGGTGCCTCGTATTCTTACGTTGCCCGTTTCTCGGTGGTTCCTCGGGTTCCTGGCCCCCACTTGTCCGTTGCCCCAAATGCATGCACACGTGCACATTCATTCGTTCATTCATACATACACATACACGTACACATACAAGTACACAAGTGTACAAACGTACAAACATGCATACATACATACATACATGCATACATATGATACTGGAGAAAAGCCCCAATCATAACCGTTTTAGGGCTATGGGGTTCTAGGGCTATGAGGCCCCTCGCGACCACCGCCACCATTCCCCCCTGCCTCCCCGCCCCCCCACCCCCGCGACCGCGCGACGATCGAGGGCGGCAGGGATTAGGGTGGAGGCGGGCAACCGCCGCGAGGGAAGGGGAAGGCGGTTTGCCGCCGAGGTGGGCGGGGGGGCGGGAGGCGGTTTGCCGCCGAGGGAGGAGGAAGGCGGCTTGCCGCCGAAGGAAGGAGTGGGCGGCTTTGCCGCCGAAGGGAGGCTGGGGGGAGGAGCATGAACCGGTTTGCCGCCAGGAGGGGGAGGGGGGGCGCTTCGCCGCCGAGGGAGGGGCGGGGGCGGCTTGCCGCCGAAGGAGGGAGTGGGGGGTTCGCCGCCGAAGGGAGGAGAGCGGTTCGCCGCCAGGAGACGGGGGCGGTTCGCCGCCGAAGGAGGGAGTAGGCGGTTTGCCGCCGAATGGGAGGGGGGGGGCCCGGAGCAGAGCAAAACGAGTGCATTTGTTCCCCCTTCCCCCTCCCCCCCCCCGCGGGCGCCGTGTAAGGGCGGAGCCGCAGCGCCGCCGCGAGGTCCAGCGGGATTGACCTGCGACGCCTAAGTCCTGGAAGCTGCAAACGTTCAAACACTTTTTGGAAAATGCAAAATGGAAAACATGATCACGTACACAACCAAATACAACAGATTTTCACACACCAGATAAACACATTTGTCAAAACGGGCCTTAGCGACTTAGTAGAGATATCTAACTTATTAAGTTACTTACATCTATATGATATCTGTGACAATTGGGGAATATGCACGCGTGACATCTACGATAAACACAAGTATCTCCGATGTCTTGAGTAAGATCATGTGAAATGGTTTTTCTCGCATCAACGATTCTCCGCTTGCGAACGCGTGGAGGAAGAATCGCACGGGACAATGCTCACGGAAAACGGCAGCCACCTGCTCCGAGAGATGCAAAACGAGCTCTGGCACGGGAGACTGCTCGGCCTTGAATTCCAGGGTGTGCGGGCAGCGGCCAAGCTCAAAGAGCCGACTCAGCCCGTGTGCGCAATGCGCGCGCACTGCATCAGGACCATGAACAGGCCCACGGCGCTGACCCCGCCCACCGGCGACGTCGACAGCGGCCGAGCCGGGCGCAACGCGTGCACGAGTGCCGTTGAGTCGTGGATGACCGATGAGAGACAGGCCGTCCACGAGGGCTGCGTGCGCGATGTGGAGGAGCAGGGCGGGCCACCTGGAAGAGGCAAAGACAAGCAGGGCAAGGAGACGCGCGGCGGCGCCCGAGGGCCCGCGCGCGGAGGCGCCGGAGGGCGGGGAGGAGCAGGGAGGCGGCAGGGGCGGGGGCGACGCCGGCCCGGGCACAGAGGAGCACGGCGGCGCCGGGGGACGCCTGCGCGCGTGGCGCCCGGGGCAGCAGAGCGCAGCGGCGGAAGGAGAGCAGGCTCCACGTCGTCCTGTTCCAGCGGGGTCTGGCAACAGGCAGCTCGTCATGGCTCCTGTGCGGGGGCCGTCTCTCCCGGCGCCCGGCAGCGCCCGCGGGCTCCCGGAGAAGCGGCGGGAGATCAGGGCGTCCAAGGAGTGCGAGCAGGCGGCGCAGCTCCCCGGGAGGCGTACCGAGGAGGTGGCCAAGGTGCAGCGCGCGCCATGAGCAACTTTACCGCGCCGAGCAGCGCGCAGAGGCGAACGATGTCCTCGAGGCATTGTGGAAGGAAGCGCTATCACGAGGCGCTTGGCGTTCTCCAACAAACATGGCAGCAGAGGCCTGAGAGCACGCCCGCCCGACGTGGTCGTCCCTCCCGCGGTGTAGCTGGGACGGCGCAAAAATAGAGCGCGGCAAGAGCGTCTGACTGGACTGCAAAGCCAGGAGCGAAGGAGAATGAAGCGTTGCAAAACCTGTGACAGCAGTGCTGGTGTAGACGGAACCTTTGCAGCTCAGCTGTTCTCGGCTGGCAGCCGCCGCCTTTTATTCGTAGCGCCCACATCGGCAAGAGCGATGGACAACAAATGTGCACAGGATGCGCGCGAAATCAATCGCATCATCATGTTCCTCCCTCTTCCCTCCACCCTCAAAGCTGCGCCGGCACTCCAAGCTCATTGTGAATTGCAATTGCGCGGTCGCGCCAGGTTCAGGGCTGTCAGAAATGAAGCAGCCAAATCGCATACCAACAACTCGTGCTTCTGGGGAATGTGGCCCAATGCCGGACGACGGCGCTGTCCGACGCTGTGTCTTCGCCCCCGGAACATCTTGTTTATCTTGCTTGGGAGGTCGCCTGAAGCGCGGTCGGCCAAAGAACACGTGGAAGCGGAATGTATTTGCCATGGCGTGCCAAGCAGCCGGCGTCGAAGACAGATTTCTTCAGCTATGGCAAGGGAGCGCCCAGACGTGGCGACAATGCAGCGAACAATTGATTTCTGTGCGCAGGTTGCAGTGTAAGTCTTTACTTTCCTTCGAAGAAGAAACAACGCCACAAACAGAAACTTTTGGCGCTCCGCGCGGATTTCTTGGACCCGCGCCGGGCCCCCCAGGGGCGCCGCCGGAGGCGCCGCCAGGGAGGGCCCCGCGCGGATCCAAGACATCCGCGAGGAGCGCCAACAATTTATGTGTATGGCAATTTTTGCTCTTCGATTCCTTCCGTCTGCACACTACTGCCGACGCGCTCTCTCGCTCTCTCTTTCTCGGCTTCCGCTTCGCTTCGGCCCCGTCTGACCCGCCAACTGTCCAGGCGCACGCCCGAGGAGGGCGGGAGGGAACGATTCAGAAACGATCTCCTGCCCACGGGCCGGTCGTCAGGGATGGACCTAAACGTTTTTTTCTGTTTGCTTTCGTTTAGTTCTTCGTTTTGCCCTCCCTGTTTCCCTGTACCTCCGTGCCACAGCGAGACACGAAACACAACCGAAGTCCAGCAACACCACGTTCAGGTCCAGCACTGCCGGCAGTTTCTAGGGGCAAAACAAACCTACCTCGCTTTTGACCACCCTCGCTTCCAAGAGATACCAAACGAGGCCAAACTGCGGCCTGTACTGGTCAGGCCGCTTGACAAGGAGGCGTGTGGTATGACTTGGTTTTGCCTGGAAGCGAAAGCGGGGTAATTAGGTGATTCACGCTCTGAGTTTCTTCACTACCGTCCTGCATCATTGCTCGAACCTCTGCCCCTGAGCGCTGCTGGCGGCCTCCGATGCGCGGGGGGGGTCTGCGGCCTGGGAGCCGCTGCGCGGCGCCGCCGCGGCTCAGCAGGGCGGCGTCCGAGTGAAGCAGGCACATCTCCTCTCGGCGTGTGTGTGTGGGTATGCATGAGAATCAGGGGGACGTAAGACCTGGGCACAGGGGACTCGGACATCCCCGACGAGGTCGTCAAAAAAATGACGAGGCCGAGCCTGCATTTTGACGAGGCCTCCCGCTGCAGGCATCCCACGGAACTCCTCCTCGTCAAAGTCCGAGGCGCGGTCGTCAAAAAACGATGGCGAACCCGAGTCCTGGCAAACCCGGGTCTTACGCTCCCCCGAGAGAAGAGGCGACGATTAGGTCGGGCATGCCCCCCTACAGGCGGATGTTCGAAGAACAATAAGGAATACCGTAGACAGACTCCAACATATTCCAAACATGATCAAAACATCGTCTCCAGACGTTTGAAAACAATGTTTGAACATTCCTCCTGTAGAGGGACACGCCCGACTTAAGCTAACGGGCGAAGAACGGTCTAAAATAAACTTTATCGCTGTCGGGGGCGCCTGTCCCTGGGCGGCTGGAAAGTGTATACCCTTACGGTGGCACCGTAGGGGTATAAACTTTCCAGCCGCCCAGGGACAGGCGCCCCCGACAGCGAAACAGTTTATTTTATACCGTTCTTCGCTCGCTGATTAAGACGACGACGAGGACGAGGGCGACGACGCCGCAGCCGACGACGACGCCGACGCTGACGCTGACGCTGACGCAGACGCCGCCGACGGCGGACGACGGACGACGGACGACGGACGACGGACGACGGACGACGGACGACGACGACGACGACGACGTCGACGACGACGACGACGACGACGACGACGACGACGACGACGACGACGACGACGACAACGACGACGACGAAGACGACGACGACGGCCGGCGGCGAGTGGGAGGGCTCGATTCCGAGCACCCCCCTCCTCCTTTGCGCCGCCGTAGGTTGGAGGGACGACAGACGACGACGACGACGGACGACAGACGACGACGGACGAGTGCGGAAACCACCGAGTCGAATGCGCGACGTGGCCAACCGCCTGCGCCGACGCCGCAGGGGGCGCTGCAGCGCAGAAGCGGCCGGGGACAACCGTGTGATGTCGTGCCTCCTCCTTCCTGGGTCCTCCATGCTCGCTCCTTCCCTGCGTATCTTCGATCCTCCTCCTCCTCCTCCTCCTTCTCTTCCTCCTCCCCGATCCTCGATGCTCCTCCTTGTCTTCCAAGATCCCCCGTTTCCCCCTCCTCATCCTCATCCCCAATTCTCGGCCCTCGGTCCTCCTTCTCCTCATCCCCGACCCTCGATCCTCCTCTTCGATCCTGCCTCGAAGCGTGCCGGCGGCCGCGTCACGCTGCCGCCAACGCGGCAGCCCTGCGCCAGCGCTGGATTCAGACTCTTGTCCTCTCGTCAACACCCCGGCTCGGTGCCGCGACCCGTCGGCGTCTCATTCCGATGGAGGGCCCGTCCGAAGGCGAGTCGCAACGCAACTCGTGTACAATCTGCGCATGGCCATAAAAGGACGCGGGTCAAGAGGAGGAGTTCCGTCGCGGGGCCCCCAGACTCAATGGAAGTGTCCCCTCAACGAATCAAAGTCCATGGCGGAACGCCCAACCATGTCTGGGCTTTCCATCATGTTTGGGCTGCCCATCGTGGAATTCGGTTCGTTAAGAGGGCACTCCCAGCTTTCGAGATGCACCCTGGCGTTTTCATGTCTTTGCCTGGGAACACACAAAGAACGTCTGGTAAGGCTTTGGGATGCGCGAAGGCAGCTCGGCCCACATAATCCAAGCTGGCCCCAACAAGCCCCCGGGGGAGTCCCAGCCCCAACAAGCCCCCTGGGTCGTCCCAGCCGGCACCAACGGGCCTCCTAAATAGTCTGGGGTGGTCCCAACATTCCAACACTGGGGCGCGGAAGGCGCTGCCACAGGCGGCGCCAGGGTGTTCCGACCGCGCCCGACTGCCTGTTGAGGCGCGTCTGGGGGGCTTATTGAGGCCAGCTGGGACTGCCTGGTGGGGGGCTGTCTGTGCGCATCCCGAAACAATCCCAACGATTGGACGCCCGAAGAGTCCAGGATACCTCCGGTTCGTGCCCCCGACGCACGGACCATGAGTTACTCCTGGCCACCTCCAGCCTGGATGGCTCGGGGCTCTGAAACTCCCCGGGCCTAACCCCTCCGCCCCCCTCGGAGGTTGCGCCGCTTGCGGCGGTAGGCCGAGTGGGCGCGTCGGACGGAACAAGCGGCTGATCGGAACGAACAAGTTGCAGCGCGTTGTCCCGCGCGCTGATTTACAGAATTCGGCGGCGAGCGAGGGGGGGAAGTGAGACGTAGAAGGCCTTCTCAGAAGGCGGCGGGACTTCTCAGAAGCCCTCGCGCTCCTTCTGAGAAATTCTCTCAGTCTTCGGAGAAGGTTCAGAAAAGTTCTCAGAAGGCCGGGTGACTTCCAAGCCTTCTGAGAAGGCCCGCCGCTTCTCGCTTCCCCCCTCGCTCGCCGCCGGGGCGCGCTCCGAGTTGCCGAAGCTGGGGATGCGTTGAAGCTTCGTGCCTGCTGTGTACGCGCGGTAGTGCACTCTCGGCGTCCGCGGCGCTCGGGACAGCGGAGAACGTCGACGGCGTGCTGGCCCGGGCTACCGCCAAGCCCGGTCAGCCAGAGTCAAGGTGCGAGCCTGGGGCGGCGGCGTACAGGGCAGTTTCTAATACACAGGATTTTTCTTTAATATCGGATGTTTAATACATGATTCATTTATGAACGAACTTATGCATGCACTCATCGTTGTTTTTAATGCTAAATCCCTGCGTTTTCAATGCATGATCCGCACGCGGAGCATGTATTGAAAACGGCACTGTATGGGGCTGCTTCCGGCCCCGAGGCAGCAGGACGGCTCGCGTCGCGAGGAAGTCGACGCGGGAAGGCTTTTGGGCCGTCTTCGGCCCAGCCGGGGACCGTCGCCGGGCCCTGGGGCCGTCCAGCAGCGACTCGGGATAGGAGCAACCGGCCTCGGGGAAGGGGTCGGGGGATGCCAAGGGGCCCAGGGGCCCGTCGGTCGGAAGAGCTGGGACAAACAGGAAGTAGGGAGGTGGAGAAAGGAGGCTCGGGCACTCCCAGGGAATAACATCACACAATCAAAGAACGTCGACTCTTGAAGCAGGGAGGCGCCTAGAGCAGATTGGAATCCGGGGATCCAGAAGCACCTGCTTTCAACGACCGACGCGTATGGAACAAATCAATACATCGCACGTCTGAGGACGCATGGGAGAGGGGGTTTTGGCCCCACGGGGCTCCCGACCCCAGGTCAACCAAAGGTGATGAGAAGAAGGGGCTGGCTGGTCGCAGCGTCGCCCGGCGGGCTCGGTCTCCCATCAGGGGAGGGGGGCTGTCGCTCGGGCGAGCAGCGCGCAGCTCCCACCGCAGAGCTGGGAAACTGACGTGTCTCGTGCCGACATGGGGAACTGAGGGGGCCCTGGGACACACCAATAAACACACACAAATAAAGAGGCTCCCCATACTTTCCCACATTTTCTGGGTTTTTGCCTTCCCGCCCAATTCCCATATTTTCCCATATTTTCTTGGGGATCGACGATGAATTGTGTCTGTGCGTCTTTGTCCCTCCTGGGGGGCGCTGCCGCAGGGACGAACAGGGCTTGTCGGGCCACGGCGAGCCCCGGCCGCGAAGAGATTCCCCGACGTATTCCCAGGGAGCGGCCCGAGGGCCAGCGCCCCTCCTCCTCCTCCTCCTCCTCGTCCTCCTCCCCCTCCTCCGCCTCCTCCTCCTCCTCCTCCTCCTCCTCCTCCTCCGCCTCCTCCTCCTCCTCCTCCTTTGCTCCTTTGCCTCCTTGGTTCGGCGCCTGCGCCAGCATCCCCTCCCCACTACCCCACGATAGGGGGAGAGGAGGAGGATCTTTTCTAGCTCCTCCTCACCGTGCGAGTTGGCCGTGCGCCCCGCCTCGGGGCCGCGAGACTCGCAGCAAGTGCGATCGACGTCAGCCGCTGGGGCCCTTGGGCCGGCTGCCGCGCACCCAGGCGAGCACGCGGCCGCGCAGCGCCCCGTCGCGCTGGCAGTCCGCCAGCGCCAGGGGCGCGGCGGTGAGCGGGCAGCGCCCGCCCGAGGCAGCCAACGCGCGCTGCAGGGACGTGCGCTCGAACGCGTGCCCGGCGGGGGAGCGGACCGGGTCCATGAGAAGCCTCTTGTCCAGCGCGCAGCAGAACTCCGGCGGCGCCGCGTCCACCAGCTCCGCCAGCCCGGGGGCGCCGCCCCGTTCGAGACCGAAGGCGCGGCCGCCCACCGGCGGGCCCGCGGCGGGCCGCTGCTCCGGCGCGGGCGGCGCGGGCGGCTCGGGCTCCGCGGCTCCGGCGCTGGCGAGCAGCGCGGCCCGGAGGCGGTCCAGCTCCCCCGCGCGGACCGGGCCCGGCCAGGAGCGCAGACGGGCGTCGAGCTGCAGCAGCCGCTCTGGCGGCAGGCCCGCGGCGGCCCGCAGCAGCGGGTCCGGGCTGCAGCCGCCGTTGGCCACGAGTGCCGCCAGCGCCGCGAGGGCGGCGTCGTCCGCGAGCACGGCGGCGCTGTCCGGGCTCTCCGCGGCCAGGCTGCGCCGCAGCAGGGTCGCGGCGGCGCTGGCTGGGGGCGGCACGACGCGCGAGAGCGCAGCGCAGTCCCGCAGGAAGCCCCGGGTCGGGGGCGCCAGCACCACCAGGCTGTCCCACACGTGCTCGCCGCGGTCCCGCACCTGCTGAGTCCACGCGCGCACCAGCTCCACCAGCTCGCAGCGCTCGTCCGCGGGCCCCGCCAGCGCGGCCAGCAGGGAGGCGAGCGCCGGGGCGGCGAGCGCCACGCGGAGGTCGGATCCCCAGGGGAAGGCCAGCACGCAGTCGAGAAGGCCGCAGTCGGCGGCGGCGCTGGCGAGCAGCGCGCGGTGGCAGGTGAGCAGCTCGTGCCGCTCCTCCATGGTGATGTCCCCGCGGCCCTCGTCGGAGCTCCCAGCGAAGACCACCTCGGGAGCCGCTAGCCCCAACACGGCCCCGAGGACCGCCGCCCGGAGCCTGTGCAGGTCGCCCGGGGCGC